CCTCTGTGCTCAGGGGCCTGATATTCGAACCACTATCAGTTGGATGCAAGGCAAGTGCCTTATTTTCTTTTTTTGATTGTTGTTTTGGGTCACACCCGGTGTTGCTCAGGGCTTACTCCTTGCTCTGTGTTCAGAGTTCACTCCCGGTGATGCTCCAAGGACCAACCACATGGGGTGCTGGGGATCAAACCAGTTTGGCAGTGGCAAGGCAAACACTTTACAAATTAGGGGGCTGGAGCTATAGCACAGCGGGTAGGGTGTTTGCCTTGCATGCGGCTGAACCGGGTTCGAGTCCCAGCATCTCGTATGCCTGAGCACCGTCAGGAGTAATTCCTGAGTGCAGAGCCAGGAGTAACCCCTGTGCTTCGCCAGGTGTGACCCAAAAGGCAAACAAACAAAAAACAAATTATTGTTCTGGTCCAAGTGCCTTAATTTCTGTACCATCTCTCTGGCCTTTACTTTTTAAAAAATTTACTTGGCAAAATATGCATATAGCCATTCTATATAAAGATTTCTATATGGAGCACATCTTGTATGTCTCATTTACTATTATTATATTGAATGCAATGGAACATAGTGTCTTGTGCATAGTTTTGAATGGATAAATTCTCTTGAAAGTTGATTTACTTAAAAAAAAAAACTTAGTTATCGCTATATGATGATTCCCAAAGTTTTCCCGAATCCCAGCCAGATGTACCCATCTAGACCCATCTTTCTCTTACTGTCCTGGAAAGCTCCAGATTATACTAGGTGTGTATTAGATGATTTCCAGCTAGAAGTAGTAGTAGCCCAACCAAGCCATAGGAAATTTAAGTCACCGTGTATCCAAAGTATCCCAAAGTTAGAGGACAGCTGGCATTGACTGATTCAGTGACTCATCATTCTCAGGGTTGTAATTTATGTCACTTGGCTTGTCCCTTATGGTCAGAGGAGGGCTGCTTCAGTTTCTTCATGTTCAAGGCAGGAAGGAGTCAAGAAGAGTACCAGCCAGACCAATTGCTAAAACCAGTGGCTGAAATCATGTTTGATGTCCCCAGCAAATACGAAACTTAGAAGAGCTAGACTGTAGCCTTCTCTCTGCTGTACAGACTCTAGGCTCCAAAACATAATTCCTCAAACCGTTTCTCCTGATATGAGCCTATAAATGACTCTGAATCTAGGCACAGCGCCCCAGCTGCAGATCTGCTGGCTCATCCTTAATGACTTTCTGACTTGCATCTTGGGCCTCCCCAGCCCATGGCTCTGCAGTATAACCAGGGCAGTGTATAAAGTAAGACACAATTCTGAGAATCTCATTTCCTTAAAATAGCACTCAGAAAAATAGCCAAAATCCAGTTATCTGGAACCCTCCAACTTCTCAAGCCTCCTTTAGTGACAAAAGTTCTTCGTCCTGGGCCAGAGAGATAGTATAGAAGATAGTGAGGCGCTTATTTGCCTTGCACATAGTTGTGATGGCCGGGACTGTGATTCAAATCCCTGCATCGCACATAGCCCCACGATGATTGCCAGAAATCACTCTTGAGCACAGAGCCCAGAGTAATCCCTGAGCCCTGCATGTATGGAACTCTCTCCCCAGTTTCTTTTAAAAATAAATATATACAGTCATTTTTTTAAAATGGTTGAGACTGAAGAGATTAAGTCTCGAGGTTAAGGTGCTTGCCCTGCACATGGCCAACCCTACTTCAGATCTCCAGCACTATATGTGGTATCTGAGCCCCACCAGGAATGATCTCTGAGCACAGAGCAGGACTAAGTCCTGAGCACCTACAAAGAACAACAGAAATGCTGTGAATCCTAATCTCTGCTCTGATGCTTCCTTCACGATTACTCAGCTCTATTAGAACTATCTTCAATAAATTCAGTTAATGGGGCACATTGTACTCTCTTTTGATTTCAGACCTTTGCACATATATTTCTTGTTTTAAAGTCTCTTGCGTTACACTCTTATGGCCTGATCTGGGACACACCTACTAATCCCTGAATCACTCCTACTCCTCCTTCACATCTGCAAGTTCACATCCTCCGAGTACATTTTTCTGTAGCACTTCTTATTTCCCGTCATCACTTGGTTGCATGTCTTTATCTTTCATCGTGTGGATTCATTCTATACAAGAAAGAACTGCGTGTATTTTCTTATCCCTAGTTTCTGGGACACATTACATTTCTCATTAAATGTTTGTTGAATTGCTCATTAAAAATTCTGTTTGAGGGCCTGAAAAGATAGTATGGAGGTTATCACATGCCTTGCATGCAGCTGATCTTAGTTCAGTCCCCAACACCACATAGTCTCCCAAGCACCACTGGGAATAACCCCTGAATACCACTGTGTGTGTGTGTGTGTATGTGTGTGCGCACACACGCATGGGGGGTGAAGGGTAGCTTTCCTAGCTTTAAAATTGTCTTCTGTTAATTTTTTTACTTCTCTATCTGTTTTAATCCTTCCATTTAGGGCTTACTTTTGGCTCTGTGCTCAGGGATCATTCCTGGCGAGGCACCCCACCATTTGGGGTGCCTGGGGATTGAACCCAGGTTGGCTGCACACAAGGCAAGCACCGGCCCTGTCTGTTGCTTTCTTATGTTTCTAATATTATCTTAAGGGACTAGCTTAGTTAAGGAACTAGTTTTTCTAACAGACTTCTCCATGATTTACCTGTTAGATCTAATCGGACTAGATTGAATTCCTAATCCCTGTTTTTTTAAAAAAAATAATTCATAGGTGTATGAGTTCAATTTTTTGTCATCAATAATTTGGTCCTTGAATTTCAGGTTGCTCCCTTTTGTAAATTTTATGAAGTCAAACCAGGCTGCTCAGGCTGTGGCATACACGCTAACCAAGCTGGCCGCAAACTCCTTTGTGCTATCTCCTCTGCCTTAAAAGCACATTATTACACGTTAATTACTTATGTCTGTTATGAAGACCCTGCTCAAACCTTCCTCCAAGAAACCTTCCTAGGTCAGGTCAATCTTTAAAAAGATACACAATTTAATGCCTTATTAACTATACTTATTAAAAAGTTTATAGAGTGTGGAGCTGGAGAGATAGTACAGTGGCTAAGGCCACTTGCCTTGTGCACAGCTGATTCTCAGCATCCCATGTGGTTCCCCGAGCACCATTAGGAGTAATGAGGGCAGAATCAGGTGTATCCCTGAGCATTGTTGGGTGTGCCCCCCCCCCCAAACAGAAACAAATCAGAAATTTAGAGTGCAGACTCGAGAGTGAATGTGTATGTGTAATGTGTGTTTATTATTACAACTAGTTGTGAAGTCTCTGAAAGCAGGGATTTTTTTCCCTCCTGATAGCAATAGGATTTGATACCAAGAGTCTGGGCTTTGGAGTCATGTTTATTCAGCTTCAGAGCTGAGTTTTTTCCATTCATTTGCTGTGTGACCTTGTACAAGTTCCTTCTAGTTTTTCTTTGTGTTAAAGTAATTGTGAGATATAAAGAGAACAATGCTTGTAAGTCCTTCAAAGTACATAGTAAAATCTTACTATGAGAACATAGTAAAATCTTTTTTGATAAATGTTAAGCTTGGAAATTTGTCTTTCTTACATTAATAGCTCCTCAATAAAAGTTGAAGGTAGGATCTTCTAGTAGTTGAATTTCTCTGCAGAGGTTTTAAAAATAGAAACTCTTTAAGTCAGTATAAAGCTATCGAATTTACAGTCTCATTAAATGTTCTTAATTTTTCTTCCTGAGAAAGCAGAGGCTGATTTACCCTTTAAAGTTTCTTGTTGACCCAGAGCCAGGGTTGAAGGAGTTGAAGGAGTTGAAGGAGAAAGAAAGGGCAAAGAAAACCGGGTTGTTTGCAGGAGAGAATTTTTTCACCCTTCGTTAAGTTTGAAGCTGTCAATTTCAGTCATTAGAGTGAACTTCGTGTTTTCTAAATGTTAACATCAATAAAAATAAAATATAGATATTGTAAAGATTTGTGACTTTTGGATCATCTCTTACCATACATTGAGGATGCATGTTTAAGATCACGTATGTTGTAGGAAAGGAATCTTTAGCTTTACTTTGCGTGTAGGAATAAGTAACGGGCTCAGGGACATCTTCCTGGCTCGATGGACTGGAGCACACACGTCACTCCCCAAACCAGGGTTCGATCCCCAGCACCATGAGGTTCCCTAGAGGGTTGCAAGCAGTTCTCTGACAGAGATGCTCCCCCCCCCACAGGGTGTGGCCCCAAACAAAAACATACAAAACAGAGATGAGGAACAACTTAGAAATGAACGTGAACAACATGTGAGTTTTAACGTGTTAGTCCTGTCAGCCAACCCATGTATTGGTTTTTACATTATTTGCTGTCAGCAAAGAAAAGAAATTTGTCTGTTTATGGGCCACGCTGGATAGTGCTCAAGGGGGGGTCTACTGGTGGGGTCCGGGACTGAAACCCAATTTTCCTCTTGCAAAGCGTGTGCTCAGCCCTTTTAGCTATCTCTCTGGCCCCCATTACTAAGTATAATTTTAATTAGAATCAGAATCACTGATTATAACAGGACTTTAGTATAAAACATAACGTGGATTATGGCATAAGTTTTCACTGCGGGTGGGTTAGGCCATACCTGGTGGTGCTTGGGTTAGTTACTGGCTCTTACTCAGGGATCTCTCCTGGTAGGCCTAGAGGACCCTGTGGGGTTCCAGGGATTAAGCCCTGGTCACTGCGTGCAAGGCCCTACCCACTGTACTCTCTTTCCACTCCCCCCACCAGGCTTTCCATTTTAAGACCTAGTCACTAAATTACAAACTACACAGTGATCAAAGAACAGCTTCCCCCGCCCCCAAGGCCCCTTGCACACTTGGTTAAAGTATCACACTTGGCCACAGTCGCACACTTTGTGGGCAGGACATAACAAACAGCAGTGCCACAGTGATTGCACTCGTCCTGTAGGCCACTGCCAGGGATGGAAGCCTTGGCCTCGTGGCCAGGCAGGCCAGGGCTCACCCAGGAGCCACCCCGAGCCCTGGGTTGACTTCTGAAAGTCATCACTCCCTGCTCAGGGTACTTTGGCATATACCTTGGCCTCCTGCGTGTAAAGCCAGCACTCAGCCTGAGGAGCCCTCTCTCCTGTCCCTGTGTGGTAAGTTTTATAGCCATGTTTCGCCTTTTGTTTTTGGCTCACGTTTTAGTGCTCACATCTGGTTCAGTGCTGGGAGTGGGGTAGGGACAGTGCTTCTGCATGTAAAGCAGCTGCTCCAGCACTTGACCTGTTTCCTCAGCCCTTGAGTTCCTTATTAGTTTATTTCAGTAACCCTTTAATGACTCAAGTGTACCTACAAGCTGCTGTGCTTATCAGGTGTGAAGACATTGTTAAAATTACTTTCATAAGGATAGGACTGGGAAGGTAGAACTTGGCTTGCCCATAGCAGACCCGGGTTCCATCCTGGCACCCCATATGGTTCCCTAAAGCACCATTGGGTGTGTCCCAAAAGCAAATAAATAAAAATGAATTAAATCACTTTCATAAGGAAACAATAAACTCATGAATAATCTGACACTGAGATATAATTATACTAAATAAGAACCACGGAATGTTTTCTGTGAGATATGGTTTGGATACTTCAGCTTTCTCAAAAACAAATACTGAGGGCGCTGGAGTGATAGTGTAATGACTAGGGTGCCTGCCTTATGCGCAATTGACCTGGGTTTGTTCCCTGGCACCCAGTAGGGTCCCCTGAACCCCTCCAGAAGTGAGGGAGGCTGCTAGAGCACAGAGTCAGGAGCAAGCCCTGAGTGTGCCTCAGAACCCCCCAAACAAACGGACAATAGTAACAATATTGAAGAAATAATCAGCCATATACATGTTATTGATACCAAATGTTCTGATTTGGGGCTTAAATAATACAGTTGTTTATATTGACATGATTGTTCTGTGTTGTGAATCAATTCTGCATTTACCTGCTGAGATACATATTAAGGTAATTTATAAAACTTTATTTTCTCATCTCCAGATTTGCATTCACTACTTCCAAGCACGTAGTAATATTCATATTTTGAAGCCGAAGTATGTGTGTTTCTTTGGTTATCCTTCACTCAAGTATAGTCATCCACGTCGGTTGCTGCAAACAACGGCTGGTAAGTAAAATCTCAAAACTATCAGTTTAAAATGATTTTTATAAAGAAATCTTGTTTTGGGGCTAGAGCGATAGCACAGTGGGTAGGGCGTCTGCCTTGCATGCAGCCAACCCGGGTTCGATTCCCAGCATCCCGTATGGTCCCCTGAGCACCGCCGGGAGTAATTCCTGAGTGCATGAGCCAGGAGTAACCCCTGAGCATCTCCGGGTGTGACCCAAAAAGCAAAAAAAAAAAGAAAACTTGTTTTGTATCTTACTTCGAACCAAGTACTTTTTGTTCAAGAAATTGGAGATTTACCAAAAGTAAAAAAAAAAAAGCCTTTTTATTTTTAGCCTGCCTGTCCTTACCCTCCCCTGATCTATTCCTTTATCTTGTTTTCTTTGCACCCTATTTTGCACCCAATGGTACTTACGTCTGTGTTACATTTGGCCCTGTGTTCATTTACCCGACTTGCCTAAGTGCAGTGTTCAGCATTGGCACTGTTCCCTGGTCGACATTGTGTCCTGTGCCTGCTGTATTATAGTTTGACAGATGAGGCATTTAAGATGTCACCTTGGGGTGAGGTGACAGAATCAGCCTGAGGTACTCTCAGTAGAAAGGTCCCTGACTACCTTTCCCCCGTATTTTCTATTCTCTATAAAGAACTTGAAACTTTATCAGATTGATCAAGGGTGTTTTTTTTTTAAATTGAATCACCGTGAGATATAGTTACAAAGCTTTCATGTTTGAGTTTCAGTCATACAATGATTGAACACCCATCCCTGCACCAGTGTACATTCTCCACCACCAGTGTCCCCAGTATCCCTTCCTACCCCCATACCACTCCTCCCCCTGCCTCTGGCAGACAGTTTCCCCATCATGTTTGGTCCTTCATCTACTTTCAGCACACATTTCCCATCTCAGATGATCCTTCCAACCATCATTAACTTAGTGATCCCTTCTCTATTCCAGTTGCCTTCTCCCCCAGCTCATGAGGGAGGCTGCCAATGGCCCCTGTGTCTACTGTCCTTGGTATTAGTCTCATATTATGTTATTGTATATTCTACAAATGAGTGCAGTCATTCTATGTCTATCCCTCTCTTTCTGATTCATTTCACTTAACATAATACTCTCCATGATCATCCACTTATAAGCAAATTCATGATTTCATCTTTTTTAACAGCTGCATAGTGTTCTATTGTGTAGATATACCAAAGTTTCTTTAACCAGTCATCTGTTCTTGGGCACTCTGGTTGTTTCCAGATTCTGGCTATTATGAACAGTGCAGCAATGAACATACAGTTGCAGACGTCATTTCTACTGTGCTTTTTTGCACCCTTGTGATATATTCCCAGAAGTGGTATTGTGGGGTCATACGCAAGCTCAATTTCTAGTGTTTTAAGGAATGCCTTATTGTTTTCCAAAAAGCATTCCCACCAACAATGAAAGAGTCCCTTTTTCCCCACATCCATGCCAGCACTGAATGTTCTTGTTCTTTTTGATGTGTGCCAGTCTCTGCAAACATGTTTTCTTTTTATTTATTTATTTATTTATTTATTTTTTAATTAGTGAAGCACCCATGAGGTACAGTTGTAGATTTACAAATCTTTGTGCTTGGGTTTCGGTCATACAATGATCAAATACCCATCCCTCCACCAGTGCCCATTTTCCACCACCATGAATAATATCCCCCCCCCCCCCACTCTGCCTCTGTGGCAGGGCATTCCCCTTTGTTCTCTCTCTCCTTTTGGGTGTTGTGGTCTGCAGAAGAGGCATTGAGTGGCAAACATGTTCAGTCCATAGTCTACTTTCAGGTTTCTTCCAGTTTCTGGCTATTGTAAAGAGTGCTGCAATGAACAAACAAGTGCAGATGTCACTTCGACTATACATTTTTACCTCTCTGGGATATATTCCCAGGAGTGGTATTGCTGGGTCAAATGGGAGCTCAATTTCTAATTTTTTGAGAATCGTCCATACTGTTTTCCAGAAGGGCTGAACCAGTCGGCATTCCCACCAACAGTGAAGGAGTGTCCCTTTCTCTCCACATCCGCGCCAGCATTGGTTGCTTTTGTTCTTTTGAATGTGACCCACATCCACCCCCCCCCAAAGAAAGTGATTACCAAGATTTGTTATTTATTTATATTTGTTGGGGAGTGGGGGGAGGTTAGGCCACACATAGCAATATAGCAGTGCTTAGGGATTACTCCTGGCTCTGCACTGGAGTTCTGGCAGGGCTTGGGAGACCATATGGGGTACCAGGCATTGAACCTAGGTCAACTGTGTGCAAGGCAAGTGCCTTACCCGCTGTACTATTACAAAGATAGTGAGTCCATACTTAATTTTCTCTTCTGTAGTAGTCTTGTTTTTTTCTACCACCCCTTACCCAGCCAGTAAGACTTCTGCTCAGTTAACTGTTACTAAAAAACACCCAACACACACATGCACACATACACTCCTTAGTGGATTTAAACTACAGTGATTTATAATTTCTCAAAATTCTGGGAATTGACTGAGTAGTTCATCTGCTGGTTCTCTCTTGCCTCACTACATGCCTGTATTCTGCTAAGATCATCTGGACTGAAAAATCTAAAATGTTCTCACTCTGCTGGCAGCTGCTGCTCTCTTTTTATCTGGAACATCTTACTTCACTGGCAGATGGTCTGTCTCATCTTCCACCAGACTAGATCAGCTTCTTTACATGGGAATCTCAAGGCAGCATTTCAGGAGGAAGTAGGTAGGAGCTGCAAGATCTTTTTCAGCCTGAGAGTTTCACAACTTTTCTAGTGCTATGTCCTGTGTTCACGCAAGTCATAGTTCAGTGCGTTTAAGTGGTGGTGAAATAGATACTACCTCATATGGAGGCAACTGTACAAAACCAATGACTTTATTTCACATCTGGCTACTGCAACCGCCTTGCCTCATCATGACACACTATGGTTTTTAAAAACTAGGTTGATTTCTTGCCCTATATTCTATCTTTTTCCATAGAGAACTGTTGATGGTTCTCCAGGCTATCTCTTTATGAAGATATAGTCATGTTCTGAACATACTGATCCTTGTGTAATGTTACTGTATGTAAAGGTGCCATAGTATTTACTTGCTATTTCTTTGCTTTCTTAGTTTTAGTTCTTCATTCTACCTCCTTAATAAGTATACTTTTATTGGTAGTGGGGCAGAGGCATGGGAGGGGTTTGTTCCTCACTTGGCAATACTCGGGATTAATCCTGACTATTCCGGGAGACTTTTTGTGGGCTTAGGTGTTTGGGGGTGGGAGCATTATATGTTATGAGGGATTGAACCAAGTTGGCCGAATGCAAAGCAAAAACCTAAACCCTGTGTTCTTCTCTCCAACTTTTTTTTTTTTTTTTGGCTTTTTGGGTCACACCCGGCGATGCTCAGGGGTTACTCCTGGTTCTGCACTCAGGAATCACTCCTGGCGGTGCTCAGGGGACCATATGGAATGCTGGGAATCGAACCCGGGTTGCCTGCATGCAAGGCAAACGCCCTACCCGCTGTGCTATCACTCCAGCCCCTCTCCAACCTTTTGATGACCATTCTCTGTGTACCTTTTCTCTGTAAAAATCTTATCTTTTGATAAGTCTTTCTATTTTCTCAGGGAAACCAGTCTTAAAACTAGAATTAATTGTTGAGTTAAAGATTTGGATTCTTAATATTAAGTAGCAAATGTTCAGGGCTTACTCCTGACTCTGTGCTCAGGGATCATTCCTTGTGGTGCTTGGGAGTCTGTATGTGGTGCCTGGGATTTAACCCAGGTCAGCAGTGTTTGAGGCCAACACCTTAACCCACTGTACTATCTCTCTGACCCCATTTTTTTTCAAAGGTTTCAGTTAATACTGTAAGCAACAGTGTCGGGGAGGATTGAGAAGAAACAATACCTACATGTAAAAATGATGGGGTCAGAAGGATAGTACAGCGGGTAAAGCATTTGCCTTGCGTGCAACTGACCTGGGTTTGATCCCTGACACCCCGTGTGGTTCCCTAAGGCTTGCCAGGAGTGATTCCTGAGGCAGAGCCAGGGGTAACCTCTGAGCATTGCTGGAGCAATAGTAGAGTGGATAGGACGCATGCCTATGCACTCAGCTGACCTGGGTTTGGTCCCTGGCACCCCATATGGTGCCCCAAGCACCGCTAGGAGTGAATCTTGAGTGAAGAGCCAAGAATAAACCCTGAGGACCTTCAGGGTTGTGGCCAAAACACAAACAAAATTATTTGGAGGCTCGAGAGATAACTTAAAAGACTTTGCATGCAACAGCCCCTTGTTCAAAATCTGGCACCATATAGTCCCCTGATCATAACTGGAAGTGACCCCTGAACTGTAAGTTTTAACCCAGAAAGGGAGAAAGGGACATTATTTTATATTTTGCAAATACTAACTCATATTAAAGAAAAAAATACATGGCTGGGGAGTAGCTCAGTGACAGAACTTGTCCTTGGTACGTATAAGGCCCTAAGTTAAGTCTCTGGGACCACCACTTCCTTCCCTGACAAAGAAAATGTTACTGTCTTCACCTACTTGTGTATTTTATAAGCAGTTTTGAATAATTACAGTCTAAAATTAGATGAGCAGTCTTCAATCTATTTAGAACTTTTTGTTCACTTAGAAAAAGAGGTGGGGGCAGAGCAACAATACAGAGGGTAGTGCATTTGCATCGCATGCAGCCAACCTGCGTTTGAATCCCAACGCCCCATGTGTTCCCCTGAGTATTGCCAGGAGTGATTCTTGATTATAGAGCCAGGAGTAAGGCCTAAGCATAACCAGGTGTGGCCACAAAATCAAAACAAATAAATATATAAATAAAACCTCATTCAATGGAAGGGCTTTCTAGGCTCTTATTTCTTAATTTTTTTTTTTTTATGTAGGAGTACTGCTATTTATTCAGCCACTGATCAGCTGATTGAATTGGGCATGAACTCCACCTTACTTTTTTTTTTCATTTTTTTTTATAATTTTATTTATTGAATCACCATGAGAGCAGTTACAAAGCTTTCAGGACTAAGTCTCGGTCATACAATGAAACACCCGTCCCTTCACCAGTACCCATTCTCCACCCCCAACAACCCCAGTATACCCCCATCCCACACCCAGCCCCTACCTGTGGGGCAGATGATTTCCACATTACTCTCTCTCTACTTTGAGCACATTCAATATTTTGACACCAGACCCACCATTATTATTTGAGATTTTACCCCAACACTCAGATCTGCTGAAAAGGCAACAGTAGACAATTTGTTTTCTATTGCTGGTTATCAATAACATATGATGTCACGTGGCTGCAGTAGTGGCTGCACGATTTTAAAATTCCGAAATTTTAACACTTAAGTCTGGAGGGATTTCTGCCAAAAGCCACTGGGTTCCGAGATTTGCTCCTTAGTCTCTGGGATCATGGCCGTTAAGCAGCTTGATCAGGAGCCAGAAAGGCCGTTCATGGGTGATGACTTGGGGTCTTGTTGGGGTGGGGAGGACAGACCCGGCTCCACCCCCATCCCATGAGGCCCAGAATGTCTCGTCACTGTGGGCCCAAGCCTGACTGTCCAATGGCCTCTGGAGGATGACGGCCACTGATCCGCTAGGGGGAAGCAGGCAGAGGGACAACACCCTTTACCCCCTGGGGTGGCCCAGCAACAGCAACCTACTGAGTGGTCCGGAAACATTTCTGACAAAAGCCACTGGGTTTTGAGATTTGTTTCTGAGTCTCTGGGATCATGGCCCTTAAGCAGCTTGATCAGGAACCAGAGAGTCCGTTTGTGGGCGATGACTTGGGGTCTTGTTGGGACGGGGAGGACAGGACTGGCTCCACCCCCATCCTGTGAGGCCCACCAAGTTTCGTCACTGCGGGCCCAAGCCTGACTGTCCAGTGGCCTCTGGAGGATGGCCGCCACCAGGCCAACAGGGGGAAAAGGCCAAGGCACAAAACCTATTCCCTCCTGGCTTGGCCCAGCACCGGTAACCCACTTCAGGGACCGGATGCATTTCTGCCAAAAACTGCTGGGTTTCAAGATTGGTTTCTGAGTCTCTAGATCATGGCCATTAAGCAGTTCAATCAGGAACCAGAGAGGCCATGCCTCCAGTTATATAGCTGAGCCGGAGGTGGCTTGTGGGTGTGTTTCCCACATACCTAACTTTTGGCCGTTTACTTTCTTGGTAAATTTTGCCCCAAGTTTTTGGGGTCTGGCCAAAAGCACAGGAGCAATTTTGGGGTTTCTGGAAGTCTGAAGGTGCCATCCAGCTGCTGATGCACTCGCCTCACAGGTACAGATTGACCTGCTGGCAGCACCATACCCCCATCTTAATTTTTTTTATGGGAACTTTATTTTACAGTCTTTTTGTTTGTTTTCTGTGGTATTTGGGGGATATCCTGCCTCTGTGCTCCCAGGGGTGCTTGGGGTGCCATGTGGTACTAGGGATAGAATGTGAACCTCCTACATAAAAGCATACATTGAGCTATCTCTTTGGTCCCAAGAATACTATTTTTGTTGAAAAACACAAGTTCTGTGGCAGTGCCAATAGGTCTGTGTCAGTAAATATTTAATATGTTGGTTATGTTTTTTCAAAATTATTAAATGCTTTTTAATCTATAAAGTAGAATTATTTATGCCTCTGTGAATATTTTCTAATTTTATATGTAAAAGTATGGATCATGCATTATATTTTCAACATGATTTTTTCTTATTTGTTTTGAAGCTCTGCAGGGACAGATTGTTCAATTCAAACTCTCAGACATTGGAGAAGGGATTAGAGAAGTAACTGTTAAAGAATGGTAAGTTATCCTGAACTTTTGTTAAGTAAACATAAAAATAATTATGTACAAGTGGCTAAGATCTATTTAAATTGGGAAAGTTCTTTGTATACACATAATATTGTTTTAAAGGTAAAACTAGTGGTGTTGATAATATACTGGAAACACGATTCATTATATATCATGAAATTTTATCCTATGAAAAGTATTAAGAATTTTTCTCCTTTTCAGAAAGATTCCTTTCAGTGGCCCAGGTGATTGTACAGGAGTTATGGTGCTTGTCTTGCATGTAGCCAGCCCTGGTCAGTCCCTTGCACTGTGTCTGGTCCCCTGAGCACTTCCAGGAGTTATCCCTGAGCACAGAGCCAGAAACAACAAGCTCTGAACACAGCCAGGTGTAGCCCCCAAACCAAAGAAATTAAAAAAAAAAAAACCCAAAAAACCCCAAACAACAAATCATTCCATTGACTACCCTCCCTCACTTCAGCTTAAGAAAAAAAGAGAGAAAAATAAATGACTAAAATATGTTCAGTTGAGATGTCCTGTATTATGAGTAGCATCTAGTGTGTAAACACAGAACCTCTTTCCAAATTGTTTATATATTTTTTATTGTAGCATATGTTATGATTGAACATAGGGCCTCACCCAATGCAAGGCAAATGCTCTACCACTGTACTGCATTCTCGCTCTCCCAAACTATTTAAAAATCACCCTGTAGTGTGAACTTTCTTTCTGGAAAATGATTCCATTCAAATGCAAGTATAGGACCAGGGAGAGCGCTCGAAGTGCTGGAGTACAGAGTCCTCCCTGTGGAGGTGAGGTTCCTGAGAGGATATGATCCCCTGGATCATGACACACCTTTAGCAACGTTCCCACCTGGTCCAACAGAACAAAGAATTGCAAGTGCAATGGACTCACCATTACAATATCTATATATTTAGAAAAGGTTATACCAAAAGATGAAAATCGACTGGGCCAGAGTGATGGTACATGGCACTTGCCTTGCTCATGGCCAACCCGGGTTTGATCATTGGCATCCCAGACAATGAGCTTTACTGAAAGTGATCCCTGAGCAAAGGGAAGCAGTCAGCCCTCAGCATCTCCTGGTGGCCCAAAAACAATCAAACAGAAAAACAGAAGAACCAAAGGACTTGAATCAAAAATAACTTTTAAATAGGTTTAAAAATGTTCAGAAAAGGTCTTGGAACATAAGAAAAACCCTTCCACTGCCTTAGCTATTTTTTTTCTTCATGCTTTCTTTGAATTTTGGGGGAAAGGATGCAATAATCTAGGGTATTTAAATGATTTCGTGGGGGTAGGAGTGCCGTTGATTGAAACCAGAGGAACTCACACATGGAAGGTATGTTGTGCTACTGTTGAGTCACATATCTGACCTGTTTAATTATTATTATTTTTTTAATGTAGGAGGACTGCGATTTAATCAGCCACTGATTAAGTTGACTGACGTGGGCATGAACTCCACGTTACTGTTTTTTTTTTTTTTAGTTTTTTATTGAATATCCATGAGGTAGACCATTACAAAGCTGTTCATGATTGTGTTTCAGTTATACAATGACCCAACACCCATCCCTCCACCAGTGCACATTTTCCACCACCAGTGTCTCCCGGTTCCCTCCCACCATCCTCCAACACCCCACCTCCCACCCCCAGTCTCCCTCTATGGCAGGCACTTTTTTCTTTCTCTCTCTTTCTCCTTTTCCTTTTGTGCATTATGGTTTGTGATAATAAGTAGTGATAATAAGTTTGTAATAAGTAGTCATCATGTTTGTTCACAGCATTCAGTTATTTTTATCGGGACAGTAAAGCTGGAGTAGCTTTTAATTGGGTGGCAGCTTTGGGGTGTGGATGTGGCTGCTGAAGCTTCCGGAAATACAGGGAGGTGGGAGAAGGTAGCCCAACCCAACCCCAAGAAAGCCTGGAGCTTTCAGTCACAAAGACCTGCAAATCTGAATTTTCAACAGATCATATCTCCATGAGGTTTGTCCCGAGATGGTGGAGTCTGACCTGTTTAATTTTTAAGAGTTTCCAAAAGTAACAGATAAATAAGATTCTCTTTCACTGTGATTTCATACTGTTGAGGATCACCCCGCTATTTTTCCCAGTCTTGGGGCCACACCCAGGCACCGGTGCTCAGGAGTTGCGCCTGGCTCTGCACTGAGGAATCTCTCCTGGTGAGGCGAGGGTACCAAATGGGATTCTGGGAACCGAACCCAGGTCGGCCCTACCCCCTCTGGCCCTCCATTGAAGATCCTTCTAAGAATTGGTTCGTCTCCCCTGAACATTGTTTTTCTGGAGTTCTAGTATCAGTACTTTTTAAGTTAGAAGAGAACTTTAGTAACACAGATGAACCATACAGCGAGGTGTGCAGAGCCGGAGCAGAGGCAGGAGTAAGCTCAGCATGTTGCTGGGTATGTACTTTAGAAAACAAATCAGAGAAGCTGGACTGAGGTGTATGCATTGTACAGGTGATGCACTTGGCGTGGACTTCGTGGGCTTTTGTCTCCATGTGTGGCATTATGAGTAACAGTCTGCTCCCTCACAAAGGTTATTGAAAGCATCAAGTGTAATAAAGAGAGCATACATTTTGAATCTACGAAGTAATGTGTACAGCTGTTACCAATTTTCCAAAACGTTATTTTCCTTTTTCCAAAACCAACCCCGTGATTTGTTTGTCTTTAAGTTTTTGCCACACCTGCCGTGCTTGAAGGCGCCTCCCACCTCTCTGCCTGGGGGTTCTTGGGGGAAGGGGACCTGGTAGAGCCGGGGATCAAACCTGGGCCTGACTCAGAAGTCTGCACTCAGACTTCCTTTGAGTGCTTGTTCTACTGTCCTGCTTTACTTTCCTTATTGTAGGGGAGTGGTGTTGGGTGGAATCCAGGACCTCACCGACGTCAGTGATGTACATGAAGCCACATTTCTGACTCTGAGGCTACTCTCTTTTTGATTTCAGAATATTTTTATTTATTTATTTTTAATTTTTTATTTTATTAAAAAGCCTGGATTTACAAAGTTACAGAAAGTTGGGATTTAGGCGTACAATATACAGACACCAATCCCATCACCAGTGTCAACTTCCTTTTGCCAGTGTTATCACATGTGCTCTCCCTCCTCCCCATCTGATACTTCGTCAGGCACATTTCAAAGTTCTGTGGCTGTAATTTGGATCTCATGTTTTCAGTGTTTTTGATTTTGTGCTTCGGAGCTATACCACTCTCCCGCATATTAGGTATAACAGGTCTGACTCTTGTTCCCTTGTTACTTCCCTTTCAGAATATTTTTAAACAGTTATTTGGGGGGTTTGTGGGGAGAATGATCATATAGTGGGCAGGGTGTTTACCTTGCAAATAGCCAACCCGGGTTGGATCCCCAGCATCCCTTCTGGTCCCCCAAGCATCACCAGGAGTAATTCCTGAGTGCATGAGCCAGGAATAACCCCTGAGCATCGCCAGGTGTGGCCCCCAAACAAAACCAAAACTTTTTTGTTGTTTTTTTTTTTTGTTTTGGTGCCACACAGAGCAGTGTTCCTGGGTTATTCCAGGCTTGGTTCTTGGGGTCTTCTGCTCAGAGCAGGGGATTAAACCCAGGCCTCTTGGATGCAAAGCATGTGCTCCAGCTTTTTGAGCCCATCTCTGGTCTCTTCTCCTTTTTTGTATTTGAAACATCATGATTTACACTTGTATTTTTTTGCTCATTTGTTTTTGGTTTGGGGCCGTACCTAGCTGTGCTCAAGTATTGTGCTCAGGGACTGCTTCGAAGTTGTGCACAACTTCTGCCTCTGCGACTCAGAGATGACTCCTGGAAGACTCAGGGACCATAGGGGGTACCTAGGATCAAACTCATTTCAACTGCATGCAAGGTCAACTGCAAGGGCCCTACCAACTGTATCATCTCTCCAGCTATTGTAATACTATTCATGTTAAGGTTTCATGTATACAACATCCTTCTTTTCCACTTTCCTCTAGAGATCTACTTCCTTCCACCATTGTCTTAGAACCTTCCCAATCACCCCAACTCTGGTAAATTTAGTTCAGCCACCCAGGTCTCAGGTTCTATTGTCCTTTAATAGTACTATAATTTCTGTCTCTCATTTATTCTCTAGATCTGTCTGAATGGTGTGGGGCTTTTCAGGCTCTTGAAAAAGATCATTTCACCCTAAATGATTCTTTAAATGAATCATTTGATTTATTTTTTTCAGAAGTCCTTTAAGAAATTAAAAAAAAAATTGTAGTTTTCTTTCTAACATAGTTTCTATAAATCGGAATTTTGAAAAAAATTGTCTTGTTGCATTTGGTAAAATACTAAAAAGCATAATTTAACAGAAGTCACTCTGTTGGTATGAGACAGTTAATACCTTACCCTTTCTTAGTATTTACAGAAGAAAATATATGACGATCAATGGTAAATAAACTTAAGTTTTAAAAAGTATTTGACAGAGTTCTAAACAATTCTTTATGTGCTTTTGGATCTTATATATACTTTTGTATTAAAGTCCTTTGTCCATAACTAGTCCAATTACTCCAGCTCTTTTACTCTTTGCATACTGCCTTTAACCTTTTTTTTTTTTTTGCTTTTTGGGTCACACCCAGTGATGCACAGGGGTTACTCCTGACTCATGCACTCAGGAATTACTCCTGGTGGTGCTTGGGGGAACCATATGGGATGCTGGGAATTGAATCCGGTCAGCAAACGCCCTACCCACTGTGTTATTGCTCCAGCCCCCTTCTACTTCCAATCTATTTGTGTCTTAATTTAAAGAATGTCACTTACAATATAGGATGTAAGGTTCTGTCTTGCATGCAGGTCATCCTGGTTTTCTCCCCAGAACCACATGTTTCCCTGAACAGAATTGAAAGTAGTCCCCAAGCACTGTCAGATGGGTTTCTCCACCCTCACCCCAAAGGGATATAGATAACATATAGTTCGATTATTTGGGCCTGGACTAATAGTTCAGCTGGTAAGTTGTTTGCCTCGCACACTGCTGACCTGCATTCCGTCATCGG